CATTGTGCAGGGACAACTCCAAGACCTTCTCTAGGCCTTGTTTTTGTCATGGATTGTGATTTCCATAGCTACAACCAGCTTTTGGAGGAGAAACCCCAGGTGTACACATGGTGAACACCAGTACCCTATATAGCCTCCATCTACATCTACTCCTGCAGGGCCATCATTTGTTCAGCATCAGGGAACCAGTGGTGCCCAGGATTCATCCTAGAAGAAACCTTTGACATAGAAGATTGACCCCTGTGAACAAATGGCTCTGCAATCCCAATCTGCATATCCTCAGTAGGTCAGAGAAAAATGCATGGTAAAACCAGCCAGGGTGGCTGGAACCTCACCAAGTAGCCTGTCTCACCAGTTCCTCTCCATTTTAAGTGCTGAACGTTTCCTGAGATCAGGCTGATACTTTGGGAGCATTCACATCCTTTCTCTTCCACACTGCCTCGTGCTCTCTGAGCTCAGAGCTTTCCTCATCCTGGCAAGCCAGACCAGGCAGTGAACCAGGGCAGAAACCTTCCTTTAGACCTAAGCTGCGAAAGTCTTAGCCCTTGATCTCAAACTAAAACAACCATGAAGTGCTGTTCTTTGGTATTAAATCAGTAATTAAATCAGTAATTAAAGTTAGTGATATAGTAATGAAATAAAGTAATTTCTTTCTGATTCTCTGATCTAGGATGTGAAGTTGTACCAGATGTAAATGTGGCAGCAAAGAAGTTTGGAATCAAATTACTAATTCCTGTTGCTGATGGCATGAACGAAGTATATTTAAGATGTGATAACGTGAGTAATAAGACAAGGGAAAGTTTGGGTTCCACACTGATTGGCAGACTGTCTAGAAGAATTGTATTGGCAGATTGTTCTCGAACTGACGTAGAAAAATAAAGATGCTGCAGAGAGTTTGTTGGCTAAATCTTTAGTTAAATTTCAGAATCATGTGGTGGCCTAGCAAATACATAATGGTTATGGGGACACAAGGACAATAATCCTGTGTTGATCATCTGTTGCCAAGTAAAGCTGGTAGCGAGAAAAAATGAAAAAACTACCAAAAAAGTAAAAAGAGGTTACAGTAATTTGTTCCAATGTTTTCAGAAAACTGAGGATTGGATTTTGTTTTCTTTTTTCCTTAATTAGAACTCTCCCCATTCAGATCAGGGCAGTGTGATAAGGATCTTACATTTGTTTTCAATTTCACTTTATTTCATTTGTATTGAGATACATCCACCCAAATTGTGCAAAAATGTCCATTGGGGGAGAACTAGTCATGCAATAAAATTCCCAAGAGAATCTACTCCAAAGTACTGGATTTCTTTGAAAATTGAAACCCTAACTCTTCTGCAAAGGCAGTCTTGTAGGTGGAAGTAGTCCAATGAGGGAGGAACAGCAGTGTAAATCCCTTATCTCTGCTGCAGGAGAACCAGTACGCTCGGTGGATGGCTGCCTGCGTTTTGGCCTCGAAGGGCAAAACCATGGCCGACAGCTCTTACCAGCCTGAGGTCCAGAAGATCCTTTCATTTCTAGAGATGAAGAACTGGACCATGTGTCCCCAGACTGCCTCTGAGACAGAAAGTGTAGATATGAAACCAGAATGCTTCGTCTCACTACGTTATACCAAAAAATACAAGTCCAAGCAGGTATCCTGAGCACAGCTCGATGGTTGGGTGGTTCCGGGGTAGCTCAGGCTGGATTGAAGCAGCGTTTGGAAGTCATGCAGTAGAATCACCTTGCAATGCTCATTTGTCCTTTTGCAAGAGGCCTTTTCTTTAATATGAACACAGGGTGTTCATTGCCTTGGCACCTTTAGCAAACATCTCTCCTACATCCACACCCCTGCCTAAGTCACCCATCATGTTCTGCTCCTGAAACATTGTCACTGCAAAGTCTCTTCAGAGTAAGAAAGGAAGGGTTTTAGGACAGGAAGCTACTGTCTGCATCTTAAACAGGGTCTTCCTGTCCTAGGTTCCTCTCCTTCCTCTCCACATAATTCCTTGTCCACTGTTCTTGCTGTAAAGGAGCTCAGCCTGCCCATCCTGAGGACAGTCTCCAGAGCAGTAAATGGAGCTAGACCAGTGCAGCACAAACCCAGACCCAAGACCTTGCTGCACTGTTCTGCCCTTGGCACTCAGGATCTGTCCCCAAGTGCTCTCTGTGGTGCATGTGCACAAATAGTGACGACCAAGTGTCTGAAGGCAGCATCAGAGCTAATGATGTTTGATTCAGTGAAAGCAAGGGGATTTTTGTTCTCTAGTCAACTGAAAACTTTCTCTCTTCCTGTGTTTCCCAGTTAACTGCTCGTATTCTGGAAGCCCACCAAAATGTATCCCAGATGTCCCTAGTGGAGGCCAAGCTGCGTTTTATTCAAGCCTGGCAGTCCCTTCCTGAATTTGGCTTATCCTACTACATCGTAAGGTAATCACACAGTCGTGTCAAGCTGCCATAACATGGTCACACTCAGTGATTTGCAGAAAGTTCCGACTCCCTGCTCTGGAAACATTCTCTATTCTTTCCCCACCTCTTTTTAATTCTGGTGACTTCCATACTGCTGGGTTTTTTCTATAGCAGTAGCACCCAATAGCTCCATTCCTGGAGTGAGACTCTCAATTACATCTGCCATCATACAGAGCTGTGGGGTTTTGCCTGAGGTAACATATTACCAGGATTAAACTCTGATTTATATAAACTCACTAAAATGTAAAAAAATGCACATCTCATTGGTGTGCTCAGGTATGCAGTGTGTGTTCACTCTGACCCCTGCTCATTGGAATATGATAATATGCTAATTTCTTTGGCATTTCATTAAGGAAGCAGCAAAGGATTCCTTTTTTAGGCTAATCTAAAAGAGCAGTCAGCACAAGAAATGTCCTGTTGTGTTCACAGCAGCTTCCCTGGACACCTCCCTTGAACTGAGAGTTCAAGGACTGATCTTCAGTCTTGTCTCAACAAAATACCAAAACACTGAAAAGTACTCACACAACTGTACTTGGAGGCACCTTCCTTAATTTGTGCCTAAGACCTCTCACAGGGCTAGTTAGAAATCAAGTGGTATAAACTGAACCAGGTGGGAACTGTTCTCTGTCACAGAGGCCAACTGGCATGGAACAGCCCACATCTGGAATATTAAACTCTGACCTCCCCAAACCCAGTAACCTCATGTGAACTACCAGATCATGTTGGTCCTTGGACGTTGCAGATATCCTCAAAGGTTTTGGTTTATTTTTCAGGTTTAAAGGGAGCAAAAAGGATGATGTGCTTGGGGTGTCCTATAACAGGCTGATACGTATAGATATGGCCACAGGAGACCCTATCACAACGTGGAGGTTCTCCAGCATGAAACAGTGGAATGTGAACTGGGAAATCCGCCAGGTAAACATGGAACAGCTCTGCCTTCAGTCATTGCATGTCAGACTCTGGAAGATGCTTTCAGAAAATATTTTCAAACCTCAGTGAAAAGATTTTGAGCATGTTGTGACATGTTATTAAATAAGCTCTCTGAAGCTATTCTTAATGGAGTCTGGAATGAAAAATCAGAAGCTAAAAGACTGCCAGTTTGAAAGGTTCCTGCCAAACTTATTTTTTACAACTTGCCCTTGATTTTGATGGGATGAAATACAGAGACTCCAAGGTGAATTCCAACCTGTTATGCTTATTGCTCTGTCAGTGAAAATCTCATTTTAATGCTCTGTATAGTCTAGGTCATGTGTCATCCTCTAAGCTGTTGTGATTCAGTCTCTGTTACAGAATGAGGGTACAGGAACCCAGTTTGCCTTTCAAATCCCAAACTGAGATTGCAAGGCCACAGTGTGAGCAGCTCCGTGTCAGTATGTGGTCCCTGATTTTGGGCTTCAAAGCTTGCAGTCAGCTCTGTAAATTGCAGATTTCTGGGGTGGAACTAGTATGATGTAAATTCAAGCAGCCTGGAAACTGTTCCTGCTTGTAGGGTTTTCCACATCCATGTGCTGGAACCAGGAGAGATCAGATGAAATCCCTATTGCTGTCCTGCAGTATTCTGTGCCAGAGCCTGTAAGCCTGGGTCAAGTTGAAGGATTTAGTTTAAATTCACTTCAAAACAGGCAGAATCCACCGTTAGCAACCATGTTGAGTTTGCTGCATTTTAGAAGTAACAGTAGCTGTAAGCCAAAACCTGGACTGCACGTGATAACGGACAGATTAAACATTATTGGTTAAGTGAACAAAGAGTCAGGAGTGCCACTCCTGCTTTTCCCGATGTTCACTCTATTTGCCATTAGAACAGTAGCTAAAAGCACAATTTTGTTGCCTGCCTGAACGAGCAGAAAGATTTTTGACCACAAGAGGGCCCCGATAGAACAGGAAATTAGCAAACAAGCAGCCAAACACCCTCAACATCCAGCAGCCCCCCGAAATCTTGGTTAGCAGAGCCGGGTCCTGCTTTATCACGGTATTTGTGATCCAGCTCTAGTATCACACTTGCTCTTTCTTCCCAGATGCAGTTTATCTGTGTTTGATTTTGCCATATATGTTTTCTTTAGGTTGCAATCGAGTTTGACCAGAATGTATCCATTGCTTTCACGTGTCTGAGTGCAGACTGCAAAGTCATCCATGAGTACATTGGGGGCTACATCTTCTTGTCAACACGTTCCAAAGACCAGAACGAAACACTGGATGAAGATCTCTTTCATAAATTAACTGGAGGTCAGGAATGAGATGAAGTAAACCCCCTTCCCTCTGCCTGCTTCTTCTTACAGCTAAGAAGACCAGAGATTGAAGAAAAATCTCTCTGATTGTTAACTGCTGGCTAATAATTATTGTACATGTCAATTAATATTGTAATATGACTGGAACTGTTTACAGTTTTTGTTAAATATTGAAGCTGTTGAATGAAGTATGGCAAATCCATGATTCTTATGAAAAAATGATCTTTGTTTTCCTTTTGTACAGCTTTATGTTTTTAAATAAACAATGTCTAACCACTGGGCATTTTTTTATCTAGTATTTTTAATTGCAGCAATCTATTGTAACAGATATGTAACTTGGGGATATTGTACCGTGAATTTTCTTCTGTTACAGCAATGCAACTTCCCCAGTTAAACTGGCCATTGCTAAAGACCCCAGCATTTATCAGAACTAAAGCTGAATAAATACATATTTTGAAGCTCTATGACTTGTCTAACACTTGTACTGAGACCACAAAACATTCCATCAGTGTTCCAAAGTCCTGCAGACTTAAGCTATCGAAACTCACGTAGTCATTACGCAGTTGTTCAAAAATGTAGCACCCATGTGTATCTTCATCCACTTAGTGGTTCCCTTAAAGCCATAGAAGCTATTAAGAAATCATCTTGGCAAAACTGGATTCAAAACATTGATCTTTTCAGGAACACTGTTAATTACCTTCTTGAAAAAAAGTGCTTTTTAAGTACTATTTAAAATTATTTGCCTGTTAAAATGCCTCTGAGTGTGGGTCTTTTATTTCCTGTCCCCATTACTCTGTTTCACTGTGACATCTCACTGAACTCAACTTGGTCATGTGTGAGGAGCTGAAATGCTTGTAGAAATTACCTGACGTGTATGAGGCAGAATGCAAAGAGATTGATGCTCAGAGGGCTGGAGCACTTCTGCTATGGAGACAGGCCAAGAGAGTTGGGACTGTTCAGCCTGAAGAAAGCTCCAGCAAGACCTCAGAGCCCCCTCCAGTACCCAAAGAGGCTACAAGAGAACTGGAGAGGGACTTCTCATAAGGGCATATAGTGATAGGACAAGGGGGAACGGCTTCAAACTGCCAGAGGGAAGGTTAGATTGGGTATTAGGAAGAAATTCTTTACTGTGAGGGTGGTGAGGCACTGGCACAGGTTGCCCAGAGAAGTGGCTACCCACCCCTCAAAGTGTTGAAGGCCAGGCTGGATGAGGCCTTGACCATGGCAGGGGGTTGGAACTGGATGAGCTTTAAGGTTCCTTCCAGCCCAAAGCCCTCAGTGATACTGTGTCTCTACAGATCTGTAGCTGTCAGCTCTGCCTGCAGAAAGGAGTCACATCCACCAAGTTGAAAGCAATTTGGCTCTACCCTGCAATGCATAGTAATCAGTAAGGCAAGGAGAGAGTGAAGCTGGGAGAATGTGTGAAACTTCTGGACAAACCAAAACTGGTTTCACATACCTGAAGAAGTACAATGGACAGGTGTTGTCATATCACCAAGTGATGCTGCAGAAATCATTGCATAATTTATTAATGTCACTGGGACCAGAGAGTCCTAATTATGTCATGTCCTCTACTCTTCTCCATTACCTGTCAGTAGGCTGTGGTTTGTGCCAGTTTAAACAAACTATGACTTTATATTTAAAAAAAAAATACAACGTGCTTCCCAGCCCTCTGTACTTCCCTCTCCTCCACACTTTTCACATGGGGGTGGAGGCACCATCCATTTTTCCCTCACCAGAGGACTTAGTACCTCTTACTTGCTTGACACAGGCCTCATGCTGTGAGAACCACCTGTAACAGACAGTCCAAGTCCAAACACTGGCAGTATTTCAAGCTTGCCTGATGGTGCAGTGGGAGAGCTGAATGCTCATGTTAGTGCCAGCACCTCTTCCATAGACAGCTGCTTTCCAAGCTCAGCCTCCACTTAGGCTCTGCAGCCCGGATCCTGACCATGCCTGCACTCGAGTTCCTCATCTGACAATCCTACAAATTGCTCACTGGGAAGCACAGCCCCGTGCTTGCCACTGTCAGAGCAGAGCTTGTCACAGGATTGTTGCATGGAAGCCCTGCAGTTGCCACTTCCCTACGTGACCTGAACACAGGAATCCACAGATACGGGAAATCTGAACGTAGTCCTCATAAGCAGAGTGTGGCTCAGTTCACTGCTGAACAAGCACATCCACTTCCAGCCCAAGCTGTCTGCAGTGGGATTTCAGAGAAACTACCAAATATTTCCATTTTCTTTCCTGCCCCTCCTTCAATCTTACTCCATGTGTCACTGCCTTTGGAACACAGACTTCCCTGCTACTCTGCAAGGAGGAGCTCTGCCAGCTCATCCAGGCTGGCTGTAAGCCCTACCCTTAGTCCTTTTTGCTTTAAAGGAATGATCCCCTGCTGCTTTCCTCTCTCCAAGTTTCTTTAGGTCATCAGCTATCTGTTCTTGCTCCACTCACCTTGCAAGGCTTTTCTATGATAGGTAAGGAACACTTAAGAAAGGAATCAGGTTTTACGCAGCTGCTTTCAAAGCTGCATGTGACAGTAGCCTCACTTCCTACAAGGAGACCTTGGAGAGACTGGAAGAGGAAGGCATGACCCAGGGCACTCCTGCACCTCCATCATTCCAGGCTGGATATGGTTGGCAGCACCTGAGAGGAAGCCTGCACCAGCCACAGCATCAGTCATCTTTCATCCCAGCCAGGCTCCAGACATTCCCCTTAATGCACACGGGGTACCACACCCTTGCCTATCGCTGCAATAACCTGCTTAGACCTGGCTCTGGCATGTTTGTCCCACCTGACTTACACAGAGGGTTAAAACACAGGCTCAGTGGTCTCTAGCACCACATTATTAATTGCATGGTGCCAGATGTGGGAGAGGTTTCACAGTGAGTGAAAGCAGGACAAGGGCGTCTGCCCTGCAATTTTGCAATACAGAGATGAAATCCTGGACCGGAATATGGTACAGATGAAAACAAAAACCTTTAGGAAACTTACACCTCAGCTCAGCTGCAACCCTGTTCTGTACATCGAGCTTAATTAAACCACAGTCAGCTCAGGGTGAAACACTGCCCGTGTCAGGTGGCTCTTACATCAAGTTCCATAGGGGATTTCACCGCTGTGCGCATTACTGCAGCGGACAGGACACACACCCCATAGTTTTCTGAAACCTTAGGCTAAGTAATCCTCTTCTTGCATTCTCTCCCTGTTCTCTGTCTTGCTTGTGCTTGCTCTGTGGACAGACCTGCAAAATATTTCTTCTGTTGGCATTAAAAGCCATTCTCCACATTTTTTCAGGATATTTTCATTTTTAACCATCACTTGGATCACGGCCAACGAGAAACATTCACCTCTTAAACTTTACAGCCTGGTACCATCCTGCCTTCTCCTGCTCTCCCTGAGCTCTGCTTATCTTGGTGTCACTAAGGAATGCAGGGCTCAGCCTTAGCATTCCTCTGGGCAGAGGGGCTTTTGTGCAGCCCTGAATCACCCCCGGGGAGGGGGGTCTGGCTCAGCTCTTTTTGCATTACCAGTGTGAAAAGGCTGACAAAACCCCTGCTTTTATTAAACGTTCCCTCAGGTTGCCACTGAAACTCTTAGAAAAGCAGAAAAAGAGAAGAATAAAAGGTGACCAGGGAACACGCCAAAGTGACTCATGAAGGGGAAATCTCTGCCTGCTGCTACGAGATATTCCAAGGCAACTGACGAGAAAGCTGCTGCGTGCCCCGGGAAACCTTCACCAGTACCGGGCCAGCTGTTTAAGATGTAGCACCATAGCAGGAATATTCCAGACGATTTGGAGTTTGTAGCTGGGCAAAGAGCTGGGAAGACAAAGTACCTGCAACAAAAACCGGGCATGTAAAAATCAGAAACAAAGCTGGAAAATAAACATAACAAAAGCTCATTTTCCAAGGGTGCTCTGCCTTTTGCGAAAGGTTCTCTGTATCACTCGGCAATCAAGTGCCTCTGGGCAAACAAAACCTCCACCTCTCCTCCACCTTCACCAAAATGAGCAGTTGCTTTCCCACTCTGACAGTCTGCTTGCCTCAACCTCCAAAATGCAGTCAGTGAGGTTGAACACAATAAAATTAAGGCAGCTTTTGGCTCACTAGGTTCCACGAAGTAGTTTTTTAATATATATTCGAAACAAAATAACCAATAACCTTAAAATCGCCAATGAAAATTCACTGTCTACAAATACTGAGCTGAGGGCAGCAAACCTAACACAGGTACTCCATAGCCTAGGGCAAAGCCAGGCTACTTCCCTGCTCCCCAGCTTCCCAAAGAGGAGCTCTACAGCCAGCAGAAGCCAGAGGGAAGACAAGTTTCCACCAGCCTGGCTGGTGCTGGTCTTTCCTCCTCTTACACCAAATTCTTCAGATTTTTTTTAACCTGCTCCACTTTGGCCTTTCAGCCTTAAGGAGTGCAGGTCTCTGGAGGTACCTGCCAGAGTGCACGTGCCTGCTGCTCCACCAGCCTTCTAATGTGGGATTAGCCCCTCATTTAGGAACTGTTTGTCTTGCCTTAGAGCCATTCCACAGGGGAACAATGTGCACATCTCGCCCGGCCTCCTAGGGAACCGCAATGGCTCCGGAGAGTCCTTCTGAACGCCTCTATCTTGTTCTGTGGATGTTCTGGTGTTTTTCAAGGCTATCTCCCCACGCAGATAATGAAGACACGGGTCAGTAGATAAGGCCTGAGTACATGTGCACATGCAGGCTCAAGGTTTTGGGGAAAGCAAGACCTTTATCTGCACTTTAGCACCAAACCATAAAGATCTGTGCTGCCTTCATGTCAGGGATCTGTTTTGTTGTCCTGATAAATGAAAAGCACTGACTCCTGTTCTCTTCGAAATTTTAATCGTTAATTGTCTTACAGTAGCAATGGAACAACAACCCTTTTGCTTTGACTTTGGAACAATCTATCAATTCAGCCCATTCTGGGATCCCTTTCCTGACTTAGGCTCTCAACCAGCCTGATTATTATTTGAATTGTGGGAATGCTGAAAAACCCAGCTCAGGGCAGGTCCCTTGGCTGGAGATAGTTTACAATGGCAGCCTTACTTATCCAGCAAAGGATGAGAGAAGTAGCAGGAAGGGAATCCTCCCAAGCCATGTGGTACACAGAGGCAGAGCAGAGAACACAACCCATGCACAGTGGGACCAGGACAGGCCTCCCAAGGCTTCTCCATCAGCAGAGAGAATTCCTCTCTGTGGGAGCAGCAGGTGAGGGTTTCACTTTTGACATTTTCCAAGGGCCTCCTTAGGAAAGGCATTTGTCCTGAGTGAACATTTTCAGGACTTACTCCCAAGAACAAGAGTCTTAGACAGAAATTTAAACACTTGAAGCCCTTTATTGGCGCCTAGAGAGAGTCCAAAGCCCATGCCATCAGAGAGAGCCTCAGCAGCAAAGAAACACAATTCCTCCCCCTTCCCCCCCGTCAGTGAAACAGTTGGGACTACTGACACTGATCTTTTCCCTTTACCCCCCTCTGCTTAGACAAAGACAGACAGGAGCAGCCCTGCCTGAGTGTTGGGAAATAAGAGCCCTCCCACCCACCTCCTGCTAGGGCCAAGGGAGCAGGGAAAGCTGCCTGGAGCCGCCCCCTCTCTAGGCGAGGGGAAAGCTGGATGCGGGGGAGCGAGCCTGGAACAAACGTTGCCTGCGCTTGTGGGCAGAGCCGCGAGCAGGGAAGGCTGGGAACAGAAAAGAGGCATTTCACGCTCTCGGCTGAGTCACCGAAGTGTATAAAATCAAGGCCAGGCAATCGGAGCTGCTCAGAGCGGAGGCACGAGGCACCAGGACTTTGGGACAGGTACGTGCAAGCGGATGCGGTTTAGAGGCAGGGATTAAGATTAACTCTAAAATTGGAATCCAGCAGCCCAATTCCTCCTATCCTCTCCCAGCCATGTGCTGCGGAGCAGAGGATCCAGCAGCTCCAGTGACCGGGAAGCCCTGAAGCTGCTGGCCCTTGCACGGTTCCGTCTGGCAGAAAGAAGAGAGACAACCAAATATATAGTATTTTGGTGTCCAATGTACGCTATTTTGCTGGTCCCTACTTCAAAGCTGTGACGGCAGCAACAGTTGATGGTGTGGGCAAGACCTGGCACCATTCAGGGAACAGCAAGTAGCTATTAAAGTTTGGAATAAATCTGAGATATTTCATACTATGTGGGGCTTCGGTCACACCCCTATACTGTAATATATTTTTGGATGAGCAATGACAGCTCAGTGAGAAAAGCACTAGTTTGGGGCTGGGATTAATTCCCTCCTCTGTCACAGATTACCTACAAGGCCTTGCACAAGTTACTTAGGACGTTTTTTTCCTTTTTAAAATGACAAAGACGGGGATGGGAAGAGGAGGAGGGAGCACAGATGGAACTGTAAGACTAAATAAATAACATGTTTCTTGGCGCCCAGGCCTTCGGGGCCCTGATCCAGGAGAGTACTCAGTTTCTGACTACTTCCACTTCCCACAGGTTCAGGAGCTGCATTTCAGTGCATCCTTCCCCCAGCAGCTGGGCTGTGCAGCATGTCCGCGGTGCTCACCTGCGGCAGGGCCCAGCCGTAACGCAGACAGGCTGTGGGCACTGCCAGCTGCCCGGGAGCCTCAGAGTGCCTGTGCGGCCACCACCGTGGCTGTCACTCAGAATGGGGCAGAACGGCCCGGGCAGAGCCCACAAAAGCCCCAGGGCTTTGCTGTCTCCATTTCTGCTAAGGGAAGGAAAGTCCTTCCTAGCACAGCAAAGGCACTTTTACCTGCAGACTGCATTACGACTCAGCCCAGTTTGGGCCCCTACATCATTCAAAGTTTGATAACCCTCCTCTGCCTTTGGATCCATACATTTGCTTTGCACAGACAATCTCAGAGAAAATAATCCCTTGCCACAGGCATACCTGACCCTAGCCAAGCTGCTTGGCCATCACTCCATTAGAAAACTCTTCCCACTGGGCTGGCCAAACTGGACACTGCAGCAGGACAACCCTGTAAAGAGCCATACACAGCCAGGTATAAAAGTCACACCCCACAGCACACTGGCATCCCAGTCTGTCTGGTGTAGTACCAACTGGTATTTTGATAGTGGAGTGGTATGGGTGAGTCCCTCGTGCCCCTGTGCTGCTGGGGAGCTCACCTCCTGCACTGCTGCTGCCAGGCTGGCACTGTGGGTACTGGTGTGGGATACAGCTTGGTTCATGCTTCCTGCATGAAAAACTGTAGGTATGCTTAGACTAAGACTGCATGACATTTCTATCCCCAAGGGTTTGTGTTTACTTAGGTTTAATTAGGTTTAATTACAGAAGAACTATTCATTGCCACTTATCACTGTCTGGATGTAATGGGAAAGGACTTATAAATGTTTCACCTTTGAGTAGCCTTTAGTTAGCTGAGGGGAGGCTAATTTAGTTCTTAATGTTGATGATTTGTTCTCCCCTCCATGAAATGAAAACCAAACAGATCTTGCAAGTTAAGTGAAAACGCTTCGGAGAAGGATGTTTTCCCGCTTGCTCATCCTCTCCCTGCTGGAGGGGATCACTCTGTCTGGCCCGGTGAGCAGACCAGAGCCTGCAGCATCGAGGGATGTCACCACCTTTTTCCAGCTGGCTCAGGAAGACCCTTGGGAAAATATTAACCTCACCAGCATGTCCTGCGAGGACCGGAAAAACAGGACTTGGATCACTCTGCAGCTGACCAACAGCAGCCTGACAGCTTTCCCTGTCTGCCTGCCAGAGACCCTGGAGACCTTGGATCTCAGCAGCAACCTCTTAGAAGAGGTGAACGGCACAGAGATAGCAAATCTCCCACGGCTGCGTGTCCTCTCACTGAGGCAGAACCATCTCTGGTCGGTGAGATGGGGATCTGAGCCCCTCAGCAGCCTCCACTCCCTGGACTTGAGCTTTAATAAGCTGTCATCTGTGCCATCCTGCCACAGCTCTGCCCTGCCAAACCTGAGGTGGTTGTCCCTGGCAGGAAACCCACTGATTGAAATCCAGCCGCTGGCTTTTTCCTGCTACCCTCAGCTGCAGGTCCTGAACCTCTCCGCAACACTGCTCGGGCAGGATGACAGCAGAGGAATTAGGGAGTCTGCTTTTGCCATCAGCACAGCTCCCAGTGAGGCTATGAACAGGCCTGGGAACTCCATCAATGTGCTGGATCTGAGCGGGACCTTTCTTGAGAAAAGTAAGTTTCTGGATTTCCCACTATAAACACGGGGCTTGGTCAGGCCTAGTGAGCAGAAGCCTTGCAGGGCTGATGGCCCATCCTGGCCAAGCTGAAAGGTGCAAACAGCTGGGCCAAATGTGCGAGGCACTGTCCCACAGAGCAGCCTCCCAGCGGAAGGGCAGAGACCAGACACCATGAAACAGGACTGTTTGTCCCAGTGTAGTCATCCACCTCCATCCTAATTCCACTGTCTGCCACTGACAGTCATCCTGCTGTCAGCCCCGGGATTAACTTTGGGGGATACAGGAGGAAATTAATTTCTCTTTCCAGACAGGCTGCTGAAATCTTTCATTGTCCCCACAGCTCCACTCTGCTTTGTACCACTGCACTGAAGTAGCACAGAGAGAGGCTCTTTGTGCTGCCGCAGCTGGCCAAATGTTTCCCATCAGGGAGAAAATCCCAGCCCTAAGCAATTTTCAGGATGTTGTCTTCCTTTTGCAGCTTCCCCTGCCAGCCTCAGTTTATAACTGAGGTGCTGAGGCAGACAGATGTTACATGCCTTGCCCAGGTGCTCCCAGCCTGGGGCAGAGCCAGGGCCGTAGGGGGTTCTCAAGCCAGAGGTTTCCCTTCAACCCACATTTAACACATGCACCACCTCCATGAATTTGCCTAATCCCTCTTATGGTAGCGAGATGCACAATTCAGTCATGGTATGGAAAGGCCCCTTTGTACAAGTCCTATTCTTTCTGTTTCAAGTCTCTTGGGGTTTTTTTCCTGTGATAGGAGAAATAAGAAGTTATTTGCCCTTATTGCACCAGACAGTACTTTCTAGATGTCTCTGATTTCTTCCCACCCACCACTTCTATGAGCAGAGAAATTTTTCTTCATTTAATCTCACCTAACAAGAAAGCTACTCTGTATCTCTATCAGTTTTATTGCCCTTCTATCTTCCCTTCTTCTGCCCTGCAACAGCACGACCTGCAGGGTCATGTTGTTACAGAAGCACAACTGCTTGGATGTTTACACACCGGGGTATTGATTTTTGTTCTTTCCCAAAGAGAACCGTTGCACAATATGACAGAGATATTTTATATCTATGAATTCAAACCCTTTTTCTAGGCAGAAATCCACAGGAATGCTTTATTTGGCTAACAAGTATAAGTATTTTTCTGCTTTAGTTCAACCAGAGTGGACCAGAGACTTGGCCAACCTCAGATCACTTCACCTGACAAAGATGCCACTGCTAAGAAGCCTCGACACTGACTTCCTCAAGCCCATGCCTGGTCTCTGGGAGCTGAACTGCCAGGACTCCCATTCCCTGGGTTTCGTGAGGACGGAGATGTTTGACAGTGCTCCTCATCTGAGTCACCTCTCCTTTGAGAAGTGAGTTGTTTTCTTTTCAGTTCTCCCTTGCATAACATTGCCTTTGCCTCACAGCACCATGGTGCCCAGGAGCTGACTTTGAGAGAGTTTACTTGTGATTTAAGGAGGAGGAATGGGCTTGCTGTCTTACACATTTGGATATGCCATGTAAAACCTGTGATACAGACCCGACAGAGTTGATACAGCCCAAAGAGGCAGCATGAGACACATAGCACAATTACAAAGGATGAATGCTGACAGTTTCCTAAAATCTGCATCTTGGAAGCAGACAAAATTCCTGTTTCTCCCATTTTTGGGGTGTGAGATTAATATAGTTCCTTGTCCAACATTAGTAAAAGCAATAGTTCAGTCCTTATTCTAGCAGTAACACTTCTTGATATGTCACACACCTGAAACACTAAAGAGAAACAAAAGTCTGAAAGTGATTTATCAAAACAATAGTAGGTGAACTGCACCACAGAACAGTCAGCATAAAGGAAACAATCTGCAGAGTACCTAAAAAGATTTTTATAATATAGGCCCAGGTTATAAGCATATCAGAAAACAAACACTAGGGAATGTCTGTGCTCTAGGAACCAGTTTCAGGAAAATAAATCTATTTAAAAGCAAAATTTCCCAATGGATTTCATCCTTCACTAGATTGCCGCACTGAATTTACACACCACTTTACAATATCTGCAAGAATACTAGTTCAGAGTGCTAAAAATCATGACCCAGACTCAAAGGAGTGGCAGTTAAAAGTCCTAGACAAAAGAGCATCTTCTGAGTGCACAACACAGTCTGCAGGGAGGTGACACTACCACACTTTTTGCAACTAGGACAGTTTAACAGTAAAGGCAAGCAAGGTCTTCCTGTGTTAGTCATTTGGTTTTAGTAGGTGTGTATGCAAGAGGCAATTAACATGCAGAGGATGACTGGCATAGAGAAAAGTCAAGCCCTTACAAGCAGATTGAGAAAGAAGATAACAAAATGGTGTAGTAAAAAGTGAAGCTGAATATGTGATGGCAGAGAGGAGATCACCTTTCACAGAAGACTCTTCTGAAATGCCAGGCCCTTTCCCTGCCACTCGCCCCTCTAAAGGTGTTAACCCTTTATGGTTATGCTTTACCACACAGCAGCTACACTGTGCCAAATAGAGATGGGCAGGCATTAGCCTGGACTTTAAAGTGCCAAGTGATTTTAATAACTGACCACTGCCAGGGTAACTGGGAATGTTGCTTTGAGCCCTACCCACACTAGGATACTAAGCACACTCCAGTCCTTGGAAGGTAGCTGAGCGTTTGCTAATTATTGCATTTGTCATCTTGCAGCTGTAACCTGAGTTCCTTTAATCCTTGGGACACCAACTCATCGGATGGCATCACCATCAACTTGTATGGAAATCCTCTGTTATGCAACTGCCAGCTTTCCTGGCTGCTCTCCAAGCCCAAGAAAGTTGTGCTGCAAAAGTAAGTGAGTTCAAGGAGATAAAGTAATGCTCTTCAGACACAACTTCAATGTGTAAGTTGTTTGGGCATCTGACATTCACCATCATCTAAGTTATTCAAATTCCTTGCATGCTCTTTCCTTCCACAAGAGGTACAAAAGTAAAATAAAGTCCCCCTCAGGGAAAAAGCATAAAGTGCTATTAGCTGTAGATTCTACTTTAAGGTGAGAATAATATTTTCCTTCTATTTCGGATCATACTTCTCTATTGGCTGGAGATAAAAACTGAGCTGGCTTGGTGGGCCATCACTGAGAGCTGAGAGCAGGAACTGGAAGACTCGATCTTTAGCAAATTATCTCCTCCTTATCCTGCCATTCCCAAAGCTTACACTGGCACTGGCCGTCAACAAAACCCCTCGAAAATAGCACCATTTCTCACCTATTGTTTTCACAATCTCCTACAGTTTTACATATGAACTACAGTAAGTCATAGTTAAAAGAAGTACTCTGCATATAAATGAAGCCTCTTCCTTTTGAAAGGCCACCAAGAAGATTTGTCATCAAACCTCTGAGAGAGCAGGGAAGTAGACTGTTAAGATTAGATTGTTTGTCATCAGGATGGGCTTTACCAAAACTTGAATGTCTGAGTAAAGAAAGAACTCGAGCTTAGTCACTTAAAAGCACATCCCAGGTCAGCCCAGCTCCAGCTGCCTAAACCAGCTGGTTTAAGGATTTTAGGGATCCTGTTATGTCTCTCTGCATGTGTTCCCCTCTTAGCGTGGCATTAAAATCTGACCCTTTTACGACAAATTGCCTTGAACCCTAACACCCTTGCTAAGGTTCACAGTCCTTGTACCAAAGGATGTTTCCCCTTGGGCAAAAGATACTATTCCACCTTACAACCCCAAAAGTCAGTCAGCTAAATTCCTCGTGCTGTGGGAGGCCATCTGCCAAACACAGGACTGTTGTTGAGACAACCTAGCTTTGGTCTAGGTTTCATGTCCTCTTTAATATAAAGACTGTTTTTTGGCAGCAAGTTGCCAATTCCAATCCCAGCAGCCTACAGGAGCTTGTCATGTTCTTACGGATCTTGACTATTCTATCTTGTCCCCTCTGCAGGGCTCAGGAGACTTTTTGCACATCCCAGGAAGACTGGGGCAGACCTTCAACATCTTTTTCACTGCTAGAACTCTATGATAAATGCCAGTCTGAGAGCAACATTACTCTGCCTGGTTCAAACACAACCTCTCCTGATCATGATGCTTTCAACTTCACCCATTACGATGCCACTACTGTAGTAACAACAGACTCAGCTCTGCTAACCAAAGACACTTACACCAGCTCCCTAATCCAAAGGAATGGAATGAGCACAATAACAGCCAACCCAACGGAGCCGATGCTCACAAAGGCCAACAGTTCCTTCCCCGAGGAGGAGGCAGTTTCCCAATCCACAAGCAATCCCCCTTCCTTTGCATCCACAACCTCCTTCCCAGTTTTTCTCAATGCTTTCTACGCTCAGTCCCCAGACTACAGCTCCACAAGTCAAACTGGAGCAGACCAGTTAAAGAGAGTGCTCAGGCCAACCGATGTGACGGTTCCTCAGGACGGCCCATCCAACCAGACCACCAGTGGTTATTCTACTGGAGCACCAGGAAAGCCCAATGCCACTGCCCATCATACCCACTCCTTTGCCACTCACTCTGGGAAAGGTTCCCCACAGATGAGCCGACCACAGCCAAACTCCACATGGAGCAGTCCTCGGCTGGAACAAGCACCCACCAGACCACCATTAGACTCTACAGATGACTACGATTATGATGAACAGCCAAAGGAAACCACAGTGCAACTGGCACACATCTCCTGTGACTATGATCCTTGCAGGCACCTTCAGAAGCCATGCAGTGAGCTTCAGAATGCATCCCAGTGTTTATGTCCTGGCATGTCAACGGAAGATGAGGTTCCTGACCCACCGAGCCTCAGAGAGGTGACTGAAGTTACAGACAGTTCTGCACAGATTCGCTGGTGTGCCCCATATTCAGTTGTTCACACCTATGAGCTGATGCTTCATGCCCAAGGCAATGAGGACAGGCAGTTTGTCATGGACAATATTTATTCTACAGCCAGGCAGTACACTCTGTATGATCTGTTACCATACACCACTTACCACATTTGTGTGACTGCTTCGAACAAAGCAGGGTCAAGCCAGGCAACAGGTCATGAAATTCCAGGTAATTCATGCACCAGATTTAAAACAAAACCCAGCTACAAGTCTGTCCTTGCTGCTCTCTCTGCAGCAAGTGGACTCTTTCTCATTACCACAATTATTTTGTCTGTATGTCTGTGTAAGGCATGTAGAAAGCCTCAGAGTGAGCAATATGGTACACACTTAGTCTCCTACAAGAACCCAGCGTTTGATTATCCGTTAAAACTACAAACTGCTAACTAGCTCTGGGAGATTGTTTTACACATTCAAAGCTCACTGTCTCCATCACTTTGGTATGTTTTTGTGAGACTCTCATGTCCTTCAGCAAAACTATGAACCATCAGCTGTCATAACCCTTATGTTTCTAACGGAGAGAAAACCACCAAAAAAGAAAAGCTAGTAATGAAGGTAGGTAGTCAGAAAAAAGTCTTTGGGCTCTTGTTCATGCGCTAAGCAGCAGCCACTAACCTGGACCCTAGCAGACACTAACCTTGAAAAGTTGTTTTTATGATCACCTACAAACAGCACAGTGTACATTTCACAGTGAGAGGCTGCCTGGCCAGCTGTCTGCCCCCAAGGTCTCTCACAGACACAGCTGAGAGCCATGATCCAGGATGCATCTAGCTAAGCAAGGCACGCTCTGCTTTTATTCACAGAGTGAAGTTGGGTTTTCAATTTTTTAAAGGTATTCTCCAAAAAAAGTATTAGCGAAGAAGGGAGAGGAAGGTCTCCTCAGGCTCAGTGGTAAGGTGCTGTGCAGACCTAACTCCATTAAGCAATGCCAGTGACTGCAGCTCAGCCAAACTTCAGCTTGGGAAAAACATGAAGATGGACTGTGCAGGATCCTTAGGGCAGGGATAATTGTTTTATTCTGAGTTTTTATGATGTTGTCCACAACGCAGTCTCCCAAGTGCTTCCATGATGCCAATTCACAGGCAGTGGGGAGTCTGCAGTACAGCAGTGACCCACAGAAGCAGATTGCTCAGAATGCATCAGAGATGATTGCTCTGTCCCAAACATCTGTCCCATCCACACATTTAGCAGTTGACGGTTTACCTCACACAGAGGCAAAGAGCCAAGTAATGAAACAATTTAATGTGTGTTGCTGAGACTTGAAAAACTGAAATCCCATCCGCCAGCAGCAGACAGTTCTGCAGACACCTTTCAAATGAACTTTTGGGTGCTAATTTCTGCTACAGTAATAGTGAGAGATGCAGAGAATCCCAGTTTTGAGCTTGCCATTAAAATTCAGAGATGTTTGTGCTAATCAAATACTTCCCCATAGGTTTACGATTCTGTTGCTGTACTGCTGATAGACGCTGTGTAAAATCCCCCCAGGATCCCCGAGGGAAAGGTGCTGTACAGTGTAAAAGAGTATCTGTTCTGTCCATTTTTTAATGCTTCCAGTATTAACAGAAATAAAAGCTACAGAGCTAAGTTCTGATTCTTTGTTAAAGACTTAGATCTTGGTGTTGTCTGTTCCATCTACAATGTTTAGCCTGGGAAATTAACCCATTTTGTTGTTTTGGAACAAACTTTCACCATGTAGTAAGGAAATGTTTTTATTATGTTTATTACAAATTTGAGTTCTCTGATGTACTATGAGCTTTCATTTTGTGTGGGCTGTCCTCACACTATGGGCTTGCAGTCCTTTCAGGGAGTTTGTCCTTTCCCCAGCTCTGCACTGGGAATGACACAGTCCCTGGACAGGTGCTCATTGCAGATTCCTGCCCTGTGCTGAGCTCCACGACCCAAACTCACAATAGCAGTGAAATGCAGATGCAGAAGCCAGGATGATGCCACCTTTCATTTCAAAAATCTCTTTTATTTTCACATTCTGGTCGTTCAGACCTTTCTTTAGACTTAGACTTTCATATGTATTTCTGGCCTGGTTTTTCCTGTGTTTTCTGAAGTTCTAGTGAACAGGCAGAGATGACACTTCTTCTGAAGTGAGCAAATGACTCAAAGACTCATTACCCCAAACAGGCATATACTCCCTTGTGTTTGTCCAACACAGCTCTAAGAGACCTTAACTAAGGTCTTTGGTATTACCAGAAACATAAAGTGAAACAAAGTAAGAGATTTGTGAATAGGAGTTTATATTGTCTTGGAGATTAGCTCTAGAGGAGGACAGAAAAAGATAATGCAACTGAAAATAAATATTGTTCCAGTTACACTATGAGTTAGTCCAAAGCAAGACATCTTTTACAACGAGGTAACACATTGAGAGGACACATCTAACTACCCTTTACCACACTGCAGCTCATAATCACTGAACACCTAACCAGAAAGCCACAAAGCTCAGTGGGAGACCTACCAGTAACAGGATCTGACTTCCCTGAGGGTCAAGTGAGCAGGGTACACTCCGGCCTGACACTACCTGGAAGTGCAATCTTATACCAACATCAGTCTCTTGAACCTTTTCCCACTGTGAGATGCAGGTTTAGCACAACTGATTTCTCCAGCCAATTCTCACTACAGCCTCTCCTGAATTTCACAGCAAAGGGAACATGTCAAAGCCTCCTTTTCTTTAAAAGTGCCTTTTTGGGAGTCACACAAATATACAAGTCCCACTCCCACAAATCCCACTTGCTCCAGCTGACCCTCAATAGCCCAGTTTCATCTGGGTCAATGAACTGCCCCAAGGCACAGATGCCCCAGGCAGGGGTAGTGCTCCTCTCTTTTTCCTAATATTTGTGCTAAGCTACAACCAACCCTCCTTGGATATATTATATAGGCACTCTGAAATTTTCAAGTTATGAAAGTTTCTGGCTTTACTCTGCCATCCCTGAAAAATTCCAGCTTGGATCAAAAATGTCCTTCCTGTATTCCCACCCAGAACTCATGTGTCCTGTAAACAGCTGCTGCAGACCAAGAACAGGTAAAACAACAACTATTCAAAAGGGCAACTCTCATTTGAGTAAGTCACAACATTTTCCAAGTAAGTATTAAAGTATAAAACCTTCCTTGGGAAGCACTGCCTAGTGCTAGTTGTTAAAAAGATGTAAACTTCTGGACAAACTGAATTACCACTTTATTCCCTCTAGGTATTTTATTGTAGCTGCATGTACTGATTTAGAAACTAAACTCTAATAAAAAAGTAATATTTTAATCAACAGGATAAAGTTATCTTGAAGCCTATTTTCTGGTTTCTACATAATCCAAGTTTAACTGTAGGAAAAAACTAATGTCATCACCACTCCCCAGCTTCAAAACCCAGAGCTGTCCTTGTAAACACAACTCATAACCACTTTGGATTTTTCCAGTATTTTCCTTACTGTGGATGGACCCAACCAGTGGAGTGAACTCTCACAGTCCTGCTCAGGACTACTCAGTGAGGAAAGCAACCAGAAAGTCACATGTAAACATTCCCACCCACACATGAAGCCATGGTAGGAAGCTGCCCAGCTTCAGAGCCTGGTTGTTCCTCCCTCTCTTCCTGCTTGCACCCTACAGCAAATCCTGTTTGTACCTCCAACCCCAAAGACATCAACCTTTGGCAGCATGACATCTCTGAAACAAATTTAAAAGCTATTAAAAGCCAACCCATTAAAAATAAATATAACTAATGTTCCACTTACTGTTTCACCATCCCACTTGTCCTGTTTCTCTGAGAGAAGAGCACTTGGCTGAAGAGCAGAGCACATTTTTTGAACAGCTTATGTAGTTTGGCTTTTTTCTGGCTCTTCTTCCTAAGAAGAAAGTCTTATAAAGATCCTTCATTCACTTGTCAATGTTTTCTTCTTTCCAAAGAACAAAGTCTGAGCAAAGGAAGTCCACAATAGCCAACGGTGCCTGTGGGTGCATCCCCCGGGTGTGATGGTGAAGAGTGCACTGCTCCATCTCTTAACAGCACTTGAAAATCAGTCACTGACCGAGTCCCATGGAGTCTCCCACAGAAACTCTGGGAAAAGCTGCTGATCCCTGAAAAGGCCTTCAACACAGGGGGAAAAAAAAACCCAGCTCTCTAAGGGCCAGGACCCAGGCAGGCAAAGGTCTTGCTGGCTGTGAAGGAAAAGAGGGGGAGTACTTTGTTTTCGATGCAACAAGAGCCATTTAGAGAAACAGTCCAAGAGAGCCCTGTAAGCAGCAGGGTGGGAAAGCTCAGAACAGCAGGATGAGGTGCTCCAGCTGGACCCTGATCCACTTTAGTGACAGGAGGGAGCCTGCTTTTCAGAGCTGTCCCAGGCCAGAGGCATGAGAGGCAGTCCAGCTGGGAGAGGATGCAGCCTGAGGCTGGGAACTCCCATCTTACCCTTGGCTTCATCAGCCCCTGCATGGAAGGATGCACCTGCCAAACCACTGTGCTCCCTCCCTGGCACAGCCATTCTCCTCTGCAGACATCTCTCCAGAACAACAGGTTCATGAGCTGTTAGAAACAAGGATGCCTCTGAGGGCTCAGGATCTTGCTTGCCAAAAGCCTCTGATTTGCACCTTACCAGTGAAATACAGAGATATTTATCACAGGTGAGAACACATTTCGTGTTTGTGGAAACAGCTAGTCATAAAAGAACATGTTTAACCTCCTGGTGCCTTTCCTTTTTCTGAGCCCTCCAAAGGATGCAGAGTTTGTTCTGCAGCAGAGCAGCCTAGTACAACGGGATTCCCAACCTCTCTAAAAAGCAGCACAAGTAACAATATTCTGAAATACATTGAGGAAGCAATCCCTTCCTCTAGCAAGGCTAGTGTTCTGCTGTCACCTAGAGGCAGAGGGTGGAATCATCTCCCCAGGTACTCTCCCACATGGAAATGCTCATTCTTCCATCAAAGACCTTCACCCTGCACTATAAATAGAGTAATTTTCTTCTCTCCCAGATCACAGTGCAGCACTGTGTTTTGTGCTGCTACAAAATCCTCACACTTCAGTGCTGGATGACAATATCCGCAAGTACATGTAAGAGGTTAATAGTCATGGCGCTTTGTGTATTTCCTGACACACTGCCACAGTGTATGTCCTTGTTTTTGCTAGATCCTTTGCTAAAAAGACTGGGTGAGCAGCATTTTCAATTGCTTGCCATGGCTCTCAAATTCCGTATTTTTAAAGGAGAAAAAACCCTGAGAAAATAAAAACAAAAAATGGAGGGAGTGGGAGAAAAGGGACAAAAACTCTTCACAATATATAATCCATTGGAGATAGCAAAGAAGAATAAAAGAAAATCAAAAGAAACCAAGTAAAAGGACCCCAGGAAAACCCATAAGAACCAAAATCCCTCCTTCACTGTCTCCTCCAGGAGGTGGAAGCA